CGCTGTAGTATTCCTTAGTATTGTGCTAGCCGATTACTTTAAAAATGACATTTTTGGTCTGTTTGCTTCTAAAGATTCGTTACCTAAAATGTACAAACCTTTGTCAGAGGAGGAGGAGTTTCTACCAGTATTGTTTATCTTTAATTAGATATTTTATTCCCTTTGGCAAAAGAACGTTATTAATAAAGCTAATTAGATAGCCGTCTGACCTTTCCAGATCACTTTTTAAGGGGATAAGCTTGATCTATAGATTTTTATATTGAGGTTAATTAGAAGTGTTCCTGTAAAGTCAAGGAACTTCTGCTTTCATTCCTCCCTAAGAATTCAAGCACTGCCAAAGCAGGAATCTGTTAAAATAAGATGCCCTGAGCATTAATTTTGAAAAGGAAATGCTGAAACAGTAAACCAAGCGTATTTCTGGAATAGTTTTACAACTCCACTCTTCTGCATTTTAAGTATACGATGAAAAAGAAGAGGTGGGTGGTAAGAGGGAGAATATATTTACATGTGGCAGAATAAACAACCTGAAAATTATTTATGTGAATGGAGCAGAAATGTTCACATAATGACTCGAAATGCCTTTAATTGGTTCATTGCACTAACGCTCACCAGGGCTGCGCGATCTTTTGCCGCTGAGCTGGCTCATTAATGGGCTGGCGCTTGCGACTCAGCCGGTGGTATGTTTACCATTTTTAGAGTAAGTTTCCAGATCTCTAAAAAAGTGGCATTTACTCGTAGGAAGGAAGGAGGCCGAGGTAATCCAATAAGCTCCCATTAGCTTAAAAATGCAGAATTTGGGAGTTAGTGTGATGGGTAAGCTTTGCTGAGTTTAGTTCTCAGGCATGCAATAGGCAGAGATTTTTAGTACTTGTAGCAGACAGAAGCAAAGCAGCAGCCAGAATTAAGTTGCATGAAGTTAGGGGATGCTGCATAGTCCCATCTGGTCAATACCTGAGGTAAACAATAACTCTTTTATGTGAATGTGCCCTTGAATTTGTTTTTGATTGCCAGGGCCAGTCCCTGTCATTTTCTTGGCAAGATTTTAGAAGAGATTTCCCATTGCCTCTTTCCTAGGGCTGAGAGAGAGTGACTGGCCCAATGTCTCCCCGCTGGTTTTCTGCCTAAGGGACGAGGACTCACCAATTCTCATTAACCACTACATCAAACTGGTTCATCTTAACTCTGTGACCATAGGACATAAACAAATGAACATACCGATCAGGTGTCTCATTCTGATATCCTCTAGTTACGCTAGGAATGTTTGGTATAATATTGTTAAGGCATTAGTTCAGAACCCCAAGGATCTGTCCTAGGTCAGATACTCTTCAACATCTTGACAAATGATTTAGATGAAGGGAAACTGATCAAATTTGCAGATGACAAAATAGGTTCAAAATCCAGAAAGACCTTGACAGACTTGAATACCAGGCCGTATCCAACAAAATGCAGTTCAGTGGCGAGAAAAGTAAGGTTTTATATTTAGGGAACGAAAACCAAATGCAGCTCATTGCTGGCTCATATCTCTCTCACAGTTACTACTGTGAGCCAGGTAGCAATAGTAATAGCACTTAAGATTTATATATCACTTCATAATATCGCTTCATTGTGAAGGTTGTTGAGACTGTGGTGGCGCAACAGCTCCCACAGTTCCTGGAGGAAACGGAATACCTAGACCCGTACCAATCGGGCTTCCGACGCGGGCACAGCACGGAAACGGCATTGGTCGCTCTGGTGAATGATCTCTGGCGGGCTCGGGATGGTGGCTGTTCCTCCATCCTCGTCCTACTTGACCTCTCAGCAGCTTTTGATACCATCGACCATGGTATCCTACTGCAGCGACTTGTGGGGCTGGGGGTGGGAGCCACTGTTTTACAGTGGTTCTCCTCCTACCTCTCAGGTCGCTTGCAGTTTGTATGGGCGGGGGGGGGGCAGAGGTCCACCCCTAGGCCCCTAAATTGTGGGGTGCCTCAGGGGTCGGTTCTCTCCCCCCTGCTCTTTAACATCTACATGAAGCCGCTGGGTGAGATCATTCGTGGCTTTGGGGTGAAATATCATCAATATGCTGATGATACCCAGTTATACATCTCCACCCCAGACCACCCCAGAGATGCCCTTTCCATGATGTCCCATTGCCTGGAGGCGGTGCGGGCCTGGATGGGTAGAAACAGACTCAGACTCAACCCCTCCAAGACTGAGTGGCTATGGATGCCGGCATCTCGGGTTTCAGAGACCCCATCACTTTTGATGGGTGGGGAAAAACTTGCCCCCATTGATAGGGCTCGCAACTTGGGTGTCCTCCTGGATGCTCGGCTGTCCCTAGAAGACCACCTGACAGCTGTGACCAGGGGTGCCTTCGCACAGGTTCGCCTGGTGCGCCAGTTGCGCCCTTTCCTGGACCGAGATGACCTTTGCACTGTCACTCATGCCCTGGTTACTTCCCACTTGGATTACTGCAATTCCCTCTACATGGGCCTGCCCCTGAGATGCATCCGGAGACTTCAGCTGATCCAGAATGCAGCCGCACGGGTTGTTACGGGAGCCCCTCGTTACTCCCATGTAACACCTCTCCTGCGTGAGCTGCACTGGTTACCAGTGGTTCTCCGGGTCCGCTTCAAGGTGCTAGTTCTCACCTATAAGGCCCTACATGACTTAGGTCCAGGATATTTGCAGGACCTTCTCCTGCCTGCCTCTCACCGTCCTGTTCGCTCACATAGGGCTGCTCTCCTCAGGGTTCTGACGGCGAGCCAATGTCATCTGGCGGCGCCCAGCAGTAGGGCGTTCTCTGTGGGTGCTCCCATTCTCTGGAATGAGTTGCCTACTGAGCTCCGGACGGCTCCTGATCTCCGCTCCTTCCGTCGGGACCTGAAGACTTGGCTGTTCAAGCAAATAGGCTGACTCTGATTCTGGGTTTTATTATTTATTATTTATTAGTTAACTTGGTTTAAAATGGGATTTTGTTGTACATGTTTTTAACTTGTGTTCGCCGCCCTGAGTCCTTCTGGAGAAGGGCGGCATATAAATACATGAAATAAATAAATAAATAATGCTTTACACAACTCTCTGAGCAGTTTACAACGTCAGCATATTGCCCCCAACAATCCGGGTCTTCATTTTACTGACCTCAGAAGGATGGAAGGCTGAGTCAAACTTGAACCCCGTCAGGATCGAACTCTTGGCAGTGGGCAGAGTCAGCCTGCAACACTGCATTCTACGCACTGTGCCCCCACTTATTCTATACTTGTGCATTTGATTTTTCCTGCCTAGGTAAAATCTAAGTAAAAATCAAGTGCACAGGTATAGAATCGGTGGCACCTGGCTCCCACCACCCACTCCAGGAAAAAAAAGATGATTGAATTTATTGTAGACTGTTGAGAAGTTCAAGAGAACCAGGACACGGGCCGTAGTTCACATGAGTTCAGCACTTCTCTGACATTCATTAAAGCAGCTCAACTTTTTTTTCTCTCCAGATTTCCAGTTGATGAAAGAGGCAGGACTTCAATTGTGTAATGTGATGTCACTTTGGAAGCTGTCCCAAAAAACCCCTAATGCAATCTTAGGCGGCATCCACAGGGATATAATGTCAAGATCACGGAAAGTGATAGTATTGCACTCTACTTCACTGGTCAGGCCTGAAGTTCTATGTCCAGTTCTGTCTGCCACAATAAAAATAGGATGCTGAAGAACTAGAAAGAAGGCAGAGAAGTGCAACCAAGATGATGAGGGGCTTAGAAGCTAAATTCTATGAAGGGCAGTAGAAAGAACTAGGTGTTTCACCTAAAGGGAAGAAGCCTAAGGAGAGATATGAGACTGCCTTCCAAAACATGAAGGACAGGGGAAAACCATTTATTCTCCAGAACTCCCAAGTGTAAGATAAAAAACAATGAATGGAAAATTTATAAGAATATAAAGTGAAATCTGATATTAATATACTGGATATAAATGTAAATAATGACCCTGCTTACAAAAAGGTAAATTATGAATTGTCAAGTATTTGCAAGCCATTGGCACATGTGTCATATAGACACCAGTGGAGGCAGAGAGTGTCTCCACCCGTGTGGAAAGGAGGGGCTTACCCTGAGTATAAAACCCCCTCCAACCTTTTCCACCTTGCTCTTTCTCCATCTCTCTCTCTTCATGTTTGTTCCTCATGAGACTTGATCTCTGTTGTACATAGTTAATATGATTTATCATATGAATAAATACGTTTAAGACATTTATTTATGCATCTGCCTCTGAACTCTTCTATGCTCCTGGGTGTTTCTACGATCCCAATTCCACATGAATATTTAAAAATAAAGAGAAGGAGCGGGAAGATAAAAGTTAAGAGTAAAGACAAAAGTCGATGCAGAAAGTTGTAAAATTGTATATATCTGTTGTTAGTGTTGTATTTTAACGTTTGATGTAATTGTATGTATTTTTGTTTTGTTTTTTTCTCGTTTTCTTTTGCTATTGTGTGTTTGGTTTTAAAAATGTAAAATACTCAATTAAAAAAAAAAAAATTAAAGGGAATTTCCTGATGGTGATGATTATTAAACAGTGGAACAGCCAGCCTCCTGAAGTCATGGATACCAGATATCTGGAAGATTTCAAGCAGAAGTTGGATGGCCATTCATCTGGGAAAGTCTGAGGATTCTTGCCCTAGACAGGGTTTGGACTAGAAGATCTCCAAGTTCTCTTTCAGTTCTATAATTATATGATCTTGACTTTTTTGATGCTGTCCACCACCTCCTGCAGACACCCTGCTTCTAGGTTGCATGTTGGTGAGTGTGATTAGCAATTTGAGCTTTTCATATGAATCTATTCAAGACTGAGGTAGTTTGCGATTAGATTCTTCAAGAAGAATCTAGAAGTTTACGGTTGGCTTTGATTGATTTCATGTTATACCACTTCTTGCCACTCAAGACAGATTTCATAATAATTGTGTCATAATTGTATTATGTGTCAATTGTGTCAATAATCGTGTCACAGCACACAATAAAATAAGACCTCAAGGAACACACATCTGCCCCCCCCCCCCATTGCACAGATATGGAAAGGATTGACACTATCCACAATGGAGGAATAGTTGGTGAAGTTGACAAATTTTGGTGAAATGGATAAGGTAATTTCTTTGAGTAGAGAAAAGATATTGCCTACATTTCTTGCTGGCTGAAAGCCTCTTATGGACTTTTTGCAGAAAAATGGAAACAGAACTTGTGATTTACAGTTTTGATGATTAAATAGGATCATTTATACAAAGAGTAATAAAATGTAACTTTAGAGAAAGGTTAAATATATATTTGTATAAATATAACATTGTATAGTTATAACTGTTGTGAAGAGTATCGGAAGCTACTTTTTTATATTTTTTTCTTTCTTTTCTATTTTTCTTAACTTTTTTTTCTTCTCTTGCACTATTCTTTTTTCATTGATCTATTTCTCTCTCTCTCTCTCTCTCTCTTTTTTTTTTAAATTTGATTTATATGCCACCCTTCTCCGGAGACTCAGGGCGGCTTAAATGCATTAAGCAATAGCCTTCATACTTTTGTATATTTATACAAAGTCAGCTTATTGCCCCCACAAACTGGGTCCTCATTTAACTTACCTTAGAAAGGATGGAAGGCTGAGTCAACCTTGAGCCTGGTGAGATTCGAACTTACAGTAATTGCAGACTGCTGGTGTTAATCACAATGCTTTTAGTCTGCTGAGCTATCAGGCCCCTGATTATTGCTATTAGGTTGGGTTAGTTTTTATGTACATGTTTAATTGTTTTATTAAAAAGAAGAAAAAAGCACATATACGTGCCGTCAAAACCTTTTGAAATAGAATGATTTTTCGCATTTTGTAAAGTGCAAGTGAGATAGGGAATAGACTTTAGAATAACAGAGTTGAATAGGAACTTGGAGGTCTTCTAACCAACCCCCGGATCAATACCATTTCAGACAAATGGCTGTCCAATCTCTTCTTAAAAACCTCTAGTGATGGAGCATCCATGATTCCTGAAAGCAAGCAGTTCCACTGATTAATTGTTCTGGTATGAAATTTCTCATTATTACTAGATTTATCCTTGTTTAGTTTCCATCCATTGCTTCTTGTCCTGCCTTCAGGTGTTTTGGAGAATAGGTTGATCTTTCTCTTCTTTGTGGCAGCCTGTTAGATGTTGGAAGGCCGCTATCATATCAACCCTAGTCCTTCTCTTCACTGGACTAGCCATGCCCAGTTCCCGTAGCTGTTCTTCATATGTTTTAGCCCCAGTCTCCTAATCATCTTTGTTGCTCTTCTCTGCACTCTTTCCAGAGTCTCTACAGCCCGCTCACCTTTTCTCCTGCAGAAATTCTCAATGCTTCAGAATTTAAGGTTTATTTCTGAAAGCGTTCCATGACTGCCTCTTTCTGGTAGCAAAAGGAATTGCATAAGGCAAATCGAAAGGAAGGTTTTTCTGCAATGTACTCATTTTTTATATATGTAATTTTGTTAAATTTATCAAATACAAGTGCAAATAAAGATTGTGGTAAAGGGGGGAAGGTGGGGGGAAGAGGAAGAGAATTGTGCGGGGTAAAGGGAAAAGCAGAAAAAAACCATTCGCTTCCAATTACTACCAACCTGCCTTCCATTGAGGACCTGTATACTGCACGAGTCAAAAAGAGGGCTGTGAAAATATTTACAGGCCCCTCGCATCCTGGACATAAATTGTTTCAACTCCTACCCTCAAAATGATGCTATAGAGCACTCCACACCAAGACAACTAGACACAAGAACAGTTTTTTCCCAAACACCATCACTCTGCTAAACAAATAATTCCCTCAACACTGTCAAACTATTCACATTAGGCTGCATTACTATTGCCATTGGTCTTCTCATCGTTCCTGTCACCCATCTCCTCTCACTTGTGACTGCATGACTGTAACTTTGTTGCTTGTATCCTTGCGATTTATATTGATATTATTTCCTAGTATGATTTGATAACTTATTGTACCGCACGACTGTCACTGGGTGTTGTGCCTTTTGATTCTTGATGAGTGTATCTTGTCTTTTTATGTACCCTGAGATCATATGCACCGAAGACAAATTCCTTGTGTGTCCAATCACACTTTGGCCAATAAAGACTTCTATTCTAATAACATTGCAGCCTCAACTTTTTATCTTTGCATTCCTAATATAAACTAGCCACTTCTATAACAATAAACGTATGTAATTAGCACATCCCAAAAATCAGAGTTTCATTTTTTTTCTATCTCAAGCACAAAATCTAGAAGCAGAGGTACTGCAGTCTTAAATGGTTTGTTTCCCTTCAATAAATTGCTGAAAATGAAACTTAACCAATCTCTTTCCAATGTTAACTCTTGTTTCACATTGATCATGGTGTCTGGCCTAGTACATTCCTCTTCTTTGTTGTTTTTGGAGCAGTAAAAAACAAAAAAATAAATAAAACCCCACCCTTTTTTCCTGTCATTTGTCTTAGAAAGGAAACCTTTGGCAGAACTCTTGTTAATGTCACTGATTTCAGAAAGAAAAATCCAGGTGAAAGTCCTTGCTCCATTCACAGGATTCATTATAGGTAGTTACAACTTATAAATTGATTTAATTACCCGTCAAAGTTACAACAGCACAGAAAAAAAGTGACTGAAGACCATTTTTCACACTTAGCATCCACACAGTCATGTGATCAAAATTCAGACTCTTGGCAACTGACTCATGACGGTTGCAGTGCCCTGGGGTCATGTGATCCCCTTTTGTGACCTTTCAATGAGCAAAATCAATGGGGAAGCCAGATTCACTTAACAACTGTGAACAAACCAGTGATTCAGTTAACAACTGTGGCAGGAAAGGTTGTAAAAAAAATTCACTTAACAAATATTCTCACTTAAGCAACAGAAATTTTTGGCTCAATTGTGGTCCTAAATTGAGGACTATCTATAATCTTTTCAGGATACAGAATATGGCCTTGGTGCATTTCCTGCCTACTTGAATTGATTGGAACTCCCACTGGTAGCCCACATCCCTCCTCCCCCAAATGTCAATCACAAACATCAAGTATCTCTGCATTATTTTATGGATGATAAAGGAATTTTCTTTGCTTTGGAAAAGACTGGTTCCCCCCACATCTGACTCTTCCCCTCTTTTCAGGAAACGGTCAAAAGCATGTTTCCCAGATCTGTGGAATGGAGGTGGGGGAGATTATTATACAAGCCACTTATGCTAGGAAGCATTATTTTATTTACTTGGGAGACCACGTGGTCTTTTTTAATTTATTGAATGTGTCGCAATGTTTTTATATGTGATACTGTCTGTTTCCAGTTTTACAATGAGCCGCCTGGAATCATAGGAGGTGATGACATAGAATTACATGTAAGTAAACATTATGATTTAATGTGAAGGCTTGACTCGTCCACGTGCTTAGGGAATGAATGAATCATTCATGAAAAATGAGGGGGGGGGAATGGTATTTAAAAACCTGTGTTCTGACAGACGAGCACAATTCAAAGCACACTGACGATGTCTCCTCGAATGGTGACAAAACGTTTGCAACCAAACTGCCAAGCTTGGAGCTCAAACCAACATCCTAATGAATGAATCACCACACCTATCTTAAGCCACCCAGGGGCATCTGCAGCAGGGTGGGTTCTAAAATTTTTCACTACCGGTTCTGTGGGTGTGACTTAGTTTGTGGGCATGGCTTTTAATTTAATTTAATTTTTAATTTAATATTTAAATTTATATACCGCCCTTCTCCCGAAGGACTCAGGGCGGTGAACAGCCGTAGATAAAAAACATAGAATACAAAATTTAAAAACAATTTAAAAATATATTAAGCATTTTGGCCCAACAGTTAAAATCCCCCATTTTTTTTTTAATTTGATTTATATGCCACCCTTCTCCGGAGACTCAGGGCAGCTTACAATGCGTTAAGCAATAGCCTTCATACTTTTGTATATTTATACAAAGTCAGCTTACTGCCCCCACAAACTGGGTCCTCATTTAACCTACCTTAAAAAGGATGGTAGGCTGAGTCAACCTTGAGCCTGCTAAGATTCGAACCTGCAGAAATTGCAGGCAGCTGTGTTAATAACAGGGTGCATTAAACCACTGTACTACCAAGGCTCCTTTAAAATTCAAATTTAAAATTACACCATTAGAGAGTTAGGTCAGCCCGGCTTGATGAAATAAAAAAGTTTTGAGGGCCCGACGGAAAGTACGTAGATCTGGAATCATCCGTATCTCCAGGGGGAGCTCGTTCCAGAGGGCAGGTGCTCCCACAGAGAAAGCTCTCCCCCTGGGGGCTGCCAGCCGACATTGTTTGGCCGATGGCACCTGGAGGAGCCCCTCTCTGTGGGAGCGTACTGGCCAGTGGGAGGCTCTCGGTGACAGAAGGTGGTCTTGTAAGTATCCAGGTCCTAAGCCATGGAGCTCTCTAAAGGTGGTCACCAACACCTTGAATCGCACCTGGAGGACCACCAGGAGCCAGTGCAGCTCATGCAGGAGAGGTGTTACATGGGAGCGCCACGACGCCCCCATTACCACCCACGCAGCCACATTCTGGACCAGTTGGAGTCTCCGGGTGCTCTTCAAGGGGAGCCCATGTAGAGAGCGTTACAGTAGTCCAGGTGGGAAGTGACGAGAGCATGAGTGACCATGCACAAGGAGTCCCGATCCAGAAAGGGACGCTACTGGCGAATCGGGCGAACCTGATAAAAAGCCCCCCTGGCCACGGCTGTCATATGCTCTTCTAAAGACAGCCGTGTGTCCAGGAGGACACCCAAGTTGTGAGCCCTCTCCGTGGGGGCCAATAACTCGCCCCCAATAGCCAGCGATGGCACCAGCTGGCTATATCGGGACGCCGGAAGCCACAGCCACTCGGTCTTGGAAGGGTTGAGTCGGAGCCTGTTCTCCCCATCCAGACCCGCACGGCCTCTAGGCACTGGGACATCACTTCTTGGGCATCATTGGGATGGCCTGGGGTGGAGATGTACAGCTGAGTATCATCAGCATCCTGATGGAACTCCACCCCAAAACCACATATGATCTCACCCAGCCCCGGAACACCCAGGACATCACGTCAAGGGCATCATTGGGGTGGTCCGGGGTATTATTGGGGTGGTCCCCAACCTCCCGGGAGGTTACACGAGGCTGGCTCCAAAGGATTGTCAACGCTTCTTTGAGAGAGGGTTACTTTCCTGCTGCCTTGAAAGAGGCGGTGGTGAGGCCCCTCCTCAAGAAGCCCTCCTTGGACCCGGCTGTTTTAGCAAATTATCATCCAGTCTCCAACCTCTGCTTCATGGCAAAGGTTTTTGAGAGTGTGGTGGCGCGACAGTTCCCCCAGTGCCTGGATGAAGTGGTCTATCATGATCAGTCCCAGTCGGGCTTCAGACCTAGGCATAACACGGAAACGGCATTGGTCGCATTGGTTGATGATCTCTGGAGGGCTCGGGACAGGGGTTGTTCCTCTGTCCTGGTCCTATTAGATCTCTCAGTGGCTTTTGATACCATCGACCATGGTATCATGCTGCGCCGGTTGGAGGGGTTAGGGGTGGGTGGCACTGTGCTACAGTGGTTCTCCTCCTTCCTCTGACCAGTCGCAGTTTGTGTTGACGGGGGGGCAGAGGTCAACCCCAAGGCGCCTTGTATGTGGGGTGCCGCAGGGGTCGGTCCTCTCACCCCTTCTGCTCAACATTTATGTGAAGCTGCTGGGTGAGATCATCCGTGGTTTCATGGCTTGATGGTCATGTGACAATTCTTTAGGATTTAGCAAAGGTACTCGTCTACCAGACTTTTAACTGCTTGCAGAGCTGTACCGGTCTACTCATGTATTTTTGCAGGCACTGGTCTACCCATTTATTTTTACAGGCACCAGTCTACTCATGTATTTTTGCAGGCACCGGTCTACCACCAAACTGCCTTTTACCACTGATCAGCTGTAGGGCAGCCCTTTGAAGCCCTGCGACAAGGGTTTAAACAGTTTTTTTCCTTATAGCCCATCAGCTGGAACTCAGGAGGCAGCAATAGTTTGGGGGTGGGGCCAAATAAAAGGTAAGAATAACGCGGGGGAGTGGGGGGGCAGAACTGGTTCGGTGATATCATATCGTCACCGCTACTGGCTCGGCGAAACCGGGCGGAACCGGGAGGAACCCACCTCTGATCTGCAGGATGTAGATGCAACATAACAAAAGCAGCATTGTAGCATTGCTTGCAAGGTGTGTGTGCAATGGCAAATCTAAAAGGGATGAGACTTGTGACATTGTTTTTTTATTCCCATCCCCTGTAGATGCTACAGAATTGGATGCGAATTCTGCTGACTGCTGGCTTCCAGCTCAAGGTTTACTCAGCCCAGCGTTGACTCATCCTTCCATCCTTCCGAGGTGGGTAAAATGAGGACCCAGATTGTTGGGGGCAATAGGCTAACAATATGATAAAAACTGCTTAGAGAGGGTTGTAAAGCACTATGAAGCGGTATATGTCTATAAAATAAGCTGACAATGCAACACAACCCCTCTACTTGTTCGTGATTTCCTTCCATGGACATTCTGATCTGGGCAGCAGGTTTGATTGGGCATCAGAGATTTGAGTGTGCAGCAAAACATAGGTAGCCGTTTGATATATGCGAGCCTAGGGATTTCATGCAAAACATTAGATTGGTGTCTCATGAAGTGGCTCATGCATACTATTTTCCCATCTCAATCTGTCACCTGCTTCCCATCAGTGGTTTTTGGGCAAAATAAGCAAAAGTGAGTGAATGAGAGAGGAAGAACAAGAGACAGATCGGTAAACGTGAGTGACTGACAAGTGTGAAAGACGATCAAGCGAAAAAGACCATTGAGTCCAAGAGTGGTAGCATGCACGTTAGTGTGAGAGAGGCAGGGGAATCTGAGAGAACAATACAGCATTCATTATTCATTACATAGATATAAAAATAAGGCTGCCTCTTTGGCTGGAAGACTGGAGCTGTTTTTAACAATTAATTAATACAGTACAGGTAATCCTCGACTTACAACAGCTCATTTAGTGACCATCCAAAGTTACAATAGCACTGAAAAAAGTGACTTATGACCATTTTCACACTTATGACCCTTGCAGCATTTCCCATGGTCACATGATCCAAATTTGGATGCTTGGCCACTGGTTCCTATTTATGACGGCTGCCGTGTCCTGGGATCATGTGATCAGCTTTTGCAAACTTCTGACAAGCCAAGTCAATGGGGAGGCCATTGATTCCAGATTCAATTAACAACGGTGGCAAGAAAGGTTGCAAAATGGGGCAGAATTCACTTAACAAACATCTTGCATAAATGTTGGGCTCAACTGTTGTCGTAAGTTTTAGGACTATCTGTAATGCCATATTAAATAGAATAGCCATGCATTGCAATTGTCAGGCCTGGAAGCCATCTTTTGCATTGAATCTTCAGGCCTGCCACATTTACTATTGTGGGAAACTGGGAGGGGGGATTGTATGGAGTAAGGGTGATATATAGTCATAATAACATTCATTTCTCAGAGAGTCAAGGACATTCTGCCCTGCACCTGGAGGGTTGGAACTGGGAGGCATCTCTAGTTGGGACGACGCTTTGATTGGACCATGTGATAGACATGTGGGTGCTGGGCAGGGACTTGGACTTTCCTTTGTGTGGAGAAAACCTGGAAGCTTTCAGATTCCGGTTTTTCCAGATGTGCCAATATGACATTTCTAATAAATTGGAACTTTGAGGAACCTCAAGCCTTGCAATCTTCTTTCGCTGGGGGTGTTACTTGGAACCCTGACAGCAATTGCATGTATCCACGCAAGAGAGAAGGTGACAACCACTGGAAAAGGCAAGCAGAAGACAGCAATGGAACAAGAGACTGCACAAGAGCGATCATCTGAAGTTTTATCCACAGAAGGAATGGGAGCTCCTGAGCAAAGCAGGAAACCTTCCACCCACTTTGCAGATCGGGTTTCAATAGATGGCTAAACCTGTCATTCCAGCCTTTTGTTGAAACTCGCCTTCTCCCCCATCCCTAGCCTGCTTCAGGGACAGCAGCTGAAGGATGTTTTTCCCATGGCCAGGAGATCCCCTCAACCACTGCCCCTTAACTCGCTCTGTCATAAGAGCACCACTCGCCAGCCGCATTACAAAGACAGGAATAGAGGCCAGCTACCAAATTATGTAGTTGTGCTCCCACGCGGAAGGAAAACCAGGGGTGAAATGCTACCAGTTCGGACCGGTTCACCTGAACCGCTAGTAAAAAAATGCTACCAGTTCAGACGAACCGGTATTTCCAACAATCCGCTGTGCCGCGTGATTTATATTCGCTAGAAAGCAGGAAATCCTGCTTTCTAGCGAATCTAAATTGCGCGGCACAGCTGTTCCCCCCCTCACTGTTCTACTTACCTTCTTAAGCTTTTTTCAGCGCTGTGCGGTAGTGCCTGCAGTGCGCCTGCACGCAAAGCGCACATTTGGCACACACTGCGCATGCGCACGCAGGGACCGGTAGCAGACCTCACAGGATATCACCACTGAGGAAAACCACATTATATTGGCTACCTTGATGCATCTTTATGTAGCAAACACTCTTCGGGAATATTAACAGAGCTGATGTCAAGGTTGGTCCTTAGGAAGACGTTACTCCCACCTCCCCAGGTTATAATGCAGCTTCCCACATCTCAGATCACCAACAGGATTGGATGTTGGCAAGAAGAGACCAACTTTGTCCTTCTGAAGACATGATTTTTTTTTTCTAAAGACAACATTTCCATTTTGGGGGTGCAATCAATAGGAAGTAGGAATGAGGGTAAAATCAGCAACTTTTATGAGGTTAAAATATGTAATTCCTGCTAAAGAGTGACAGAAGCTACCTTTCCAAAGGTTTATTCTTATAGCACCAAAAAACCAAGATGCCACTCTTCTTCCCAAAACATTTGATTTTTCTTCTTCTGCCTCCTTGAAAGAGTTCCTTGACTTCATTACATTCCAGACCTAAGCTCCACCTTGTAGGAGCAGGAAAATTCAACAGATGGATTACATGTAGGATTAAAATCCTAAAAGGTTTCCTTTGCTTTTCCTTGGGCAGACTGATAAACTGTCTCCTCCCCCTCGGACAAGTTGGGTGCGGACTTCCTCAAGAAAGTTTGATTTGGGGAAAAAGGAAGAAAAGAAAGTTCCTTTGGCCTGTTGCAGGCAGGTGGCAAATCTCCCTGCAAACACAAAAGTAGGCAAAAATAAGAAGGAAGAAGGATTATCTCAATGAAATAATACTGACTTTTAGTTATCACACCTCTTAGTTATTGGCTCTGTGTAATGTGCATGTTCTTTTTTTTTAACTAAGATTTTTATGTCACCTGATTTACTACTCTGGACTAATTTCTCCTGTAAATTAACTTCAGAAAGCGCAAAGAAGTTTGATGTCACAAGAGGGATCTATCACAAAAAGGTTGCAGCACTGCAGCTCAGGACCTCAGCAGGTCATGAAGGACTTCAAAGAGTAGCAACAAGTTTTTAAAAATATTTCTTGCTGCTCCATTTGCTACCCCATTTTCCGTTATAAAAGGCTTATTTTAGATTCCACAAGCTCATAAATCAAAGCATGTTTTTTACGCAGCATGTTTAGAAAGCTATTTAAGTTTCGCAATCGGCTCAACCACCAGCTGCCCAACTTCATTTTAACCTAATTTAACGTGTTATGCAAATCTAGCCTATGAGATTGGGGATTTCTCGTTTTCTTCTCACTGCACGCTGTATTAATTTTTTTTCCTTCAAAAGACTTAATAACACCATAAACAGAAGCAAGGGACAACACCCGACATATTGGAATACTTCTTACGAATTTTATTTGTGCAGATTAAAAAACTATATCTCCCAAGTTAAAAGACAGTGTTAAATCTAAACCCTGAATGTATTTGTTTGTCTATTTAATGCTAGTATTAAATAAATAGATAAATACATTCTGGGTTTAGATCTACCGTGTTTCCCCGAAAATAAGACTCTGGTCTTATATTTTTTTGAACCCTGAAATAAGCACTTGGCCTTATTGCCGTGCATTCAAAAGCCCAATTGGGCTTATTATCAGGGGATGTCTTATTTTGGGGGAAACAGGGTAGTAGATCCGTAGATTTCTATATCACCCAGGAGAAGAGTGACTTTTGGCCATATCACATAAAATACACCAAGGGTTGTATTTTATGTGATATGCAGGGGTGAAATGCTCCCGGTTTGGACCGGATCACCCAATTCGGTAGTGATGGAGGTGGGTGGTTTGGAGAACCAGTAGCAAAAATCCCTGCCCCATCCCCACCCCCATGCCCAGCTGAGCTGCACAATCATCAGAGGCTTTTTTTTTTTTTTACTTTTAAAAGCATTTTTTCTAAAACCTTAGGCCAAAAAATGCTTTTAAAAGTAAAAAAAAAGCCTCTGATGATCGCGCGGCTCAGCTGGGATCTTCAAAGGCTTTTAAAAGAAAAAAACCCTTTTTTCTTTTAAAAAAGCCTCTGCCGATCAGCTGGGATCGTCAGAGCCTTTTGAAAGCATTTTTCGCTGAAGAGGTTGTAAAAAAATGGTTTTAAAAGTAAAAACAAAACAAAAAAGGCCACGCCCATCCAGTCACATTACTCCCCCAAGCCACGCCCACAGAACCGGTAGTAACAAATGTTAGTTTTCACCACTGGTGATATGGTTTATCATTTGGAATTATGGTAAATTTGGAATTTACCAAAAGAAGAAACAGACAAAAGAAGAAAACAGGTTTCATACCTGTTAGTATTCGTTCAATGGCCCCTGTTTTGTGTTGTAGTTTTTGCTTTCTACTAGATTATTTTAGAATATAATAACAGAGTTGGAAGGGACCCCAACCCGCAGGTTGCAGCCCACTACCGGGCCTTGGCCCATTCGGAACCTGGCCACGGAAATGGTGGGTGAGCATGTGCACGCATGCAGCTGCATTATGTAAGCCTGCCACTCACACAGATAAGGCCTGCGCTTGTGCGTACACTCGCCCACTGCTCATGAGTAACCATTCCCTCCCTCTCCCCCTGATCTGCAAGGCTGGAAAGGTTGGGGAACCCTGATCTGAGCCACGGTGGGGCAGTAGTTAGAGTGTAGTACTGCAGGCTACTTCTGCTGATCACTGGCTGCCTGCAATTTGGCAGATTGAATCTCACCAGGCTCAAGGTTGACTCATCCTTCCATGATCCTTCCGAGGTGGGTAAAATGAGGACCCAGATTGTTGGGGGCAATATGCTTATTCTGTAAACTGCTTAGAGAGGGCTGTAAAGCCCTGTGAAGCGGTATATACAGTCAGGTCCAGAAATATTGGGACATCAACACAATTCTAACATCTTTGGCTCTATACACCACCACAATGGAGTTGGAATGAAACAAACACAATGTGCGTTAACTACAGACTGTCAGCTTTAATTTGAGGGTATGTACATCCAACTCAGGTGAACGGTGTAGGACTTATAGCAGTTTGCATATGTGCCTCCCACTTGTTAAGGGACCAAAAGTAATGGGACAGAATAATAATCATATATCAAACTTTCCCTTCTTAATACTTGGTTGCAAATCCTTTTCAGTCAATCACAGCCTGAAGTCTGGAACGCATAGACATCACCAGACGCTGGGTTTCATCCCTGGTGATGCTCTGCCAGGCCTCTACTGCAACTGTCTTCAGTTCCTGCTTGTTGTTGGGGCATTTTCCCTTCAGTTTTGTCTTCAGCAAGTGAAATGCATGCTCAATGGGATTCAGGTCAGGTGATTGACTTGGCCATTGCATAACATTCCACTTCTGTCCCTTCAAAAACTCTTTGGTTGCTTTTGCAGTATGCTTTGGGTCATTGTCCATCTGCACTGTGAAGCGCCGTCCAATGAGTTCTGCAGCATTTGGCTGAATGTGAGCAGATAATATTGCCCGAAACACTTCAGAATTCATCCTGCTGCTTTTGTCAGCAGTCACATCATCAATAAATACAAGAGAACCAGTTCCATTGGCAGCCATACATGCCCACGCCATGACACTACCACCACCATGCTTCACTGATGAGGTGGTATGCTTAGGATCATGAGCAATTCCTTTCCTTCTCCATACTCTTCTCTTCCCATCACTCTGGTACAAGTTGATCTTGGTCTCATTTGTCCATAGGATCTTGTTCCAGAACTGTGAAGGCTTTGTTAGATGTTGTTTAGCAAACTCTAATCTGGCCTTCCTGTTTTTGAGGCTCACCAATGGTTTACATCTTGTGGTGAACCCTCTGTATTCACTCTGGTGAAGTCTTCTCTTGATTGTTGACTTTGACACACTTACACCTACCTCCTGGAGAGTGTTCTTGATCTGGCCAACTGTTGTGAAGGGTTTTTTTCTTCACCAGGGAAAGAATTCTTCGGTCATCCACCACACTTGTTTTCCGTGGTCTCCCAGGTCTTTTGGTGTTGCTGAGCTCACCGGTGCATTCCTTCTTTTTGAGAATTTATTTATTTATTTATTTCTTTAAATTTCTATACCGCCCTTCTCCAATGTAGGACTCAGGGCGGTGAACAGCCAAAGTAAAAACAAGACATACATACAAAACATACAAAATCTAAAAACTGTTTAAAATAATTAAATAATTTTGGCCGTAATTAAAACATTCCAATTTAAAATCCATTTAAAATTTGACTCAAGCTAGCCCAGCTAGTTGAAATAAATGGGTTTTCAGGGCCCGACGAAAAATCCGGAGGTCTGTTATTGTACGTAGCTCTGGGGGGAGGTTGTTCCAGAGGGCGGGCGCCGCCACAGAGAAGGCTCTCCCCCTGGGGGTCGCCAGCCGACATTGTCTGGCGGACGGCACCCTGAGGAGGCCCACTCTGTGGGAGCGTACTGGCCGGTGGGAGGCTATTGGTGGCAGAAGGCGGTCTCGTAAGTACCCCGGCCCTAAGCCATGGAGCGCTTTAAAGGTGGTCACCAACACCTTGAAGCGCACCCGGAAGACCACCGGGAGCCAGTGCAGCTCGCGCAGGAGAGGTGTCACGTGGGAGCGTCTCGTCGCCCCCAAAATCCCCCGCGCGGCCGCGTTCTGGACCAGCTGGAGCCTCCGGGTGCACCCCAGGGGGAGCCCCATGTAGAGAGCGTTGCAGTAGTCCAGGCGGGAAGTGACGAGTGCCTGAGTGACTGTGCGTAGGGAGTCCCGATCTAGAAAGGGGCGCAACTGGCGTATCAGGCGGACCTGATAAAAAGCCCCCCTGGCCACGGCCGCCAAATGATCTTCTAACGACAGCCGTGCGTCCAGGAGGACGCCCAAGTTACGAGCCCTCTCCGTGGGGGCGAGTGATTCGCCCCCAATAGCCAGCGATGGCGTCAGCTGGCTATATCGGGACGCCGGAAGCCACAGCCACTCGGTCTTGGAGGGGTTGAATTGGAGCCTGTTTCTCCCCATCCAGGCCCGCACGGCCTCCAGGCACTGGGACATCACTTTAAGGGCATCATTGGGGTGGCCTGGGGTGGAGATGTACAGCTGGGTGTCATCAGCGTACTGATGGAACTCCACCCCGAAGCCACGGATGATCTCACCCAGCGGCTTTACATAAATGTTGAACAGAAGGGGCGAGAGGACCGACCCTTGTGGCACCCCACAAGCAAGGTGCCTCGGGGTCGACCGCTGCCCCCCCTGTCAACACAGATTGCGACCGGTCAGAGAGGTAGGAGGAGAACCACCGCAAAACGGTGCCTCCCACCCCCAACCCCGCCAACCGGTGCAACATGATACCATGGTCGATGGTATCAAAAGCCGCTGAGAGGTCTAACAGGACCAGGATAGAGGAGCAACCCCTATCCCGGGCCCTCCAGAGATCATCCACCAATGCGACCAATGCCGTTTCCGTGCTGTGCCCAGGCCGGAAGCCGGACTGGAGCGGGTCTAGATAGACAGCTTCATCCAGGTACCGGGGAAGCTGTTGCGCCACCACACTCTCAACAACCTTCGCAATGAAGCGAAGGTTGGAGACTGGACGATAGTTAGCCAAAACAGCCGGATCCAGAGAAGGCTTCTTGAGGAGGGGCCTCACCACCGCTTCTTTCAAAGCGGCCAGCAGGACCCCCTCACTCAAAGAAGCGTTAACAATCTTCTGGAGCCAGTCTCGTGTCACCTCCAAGCCAGTACCAACCAGGAGGGACACGGGTCCAATAAACATGTGGTCGCGTTCAGCCGTCCCAGGACCCTGTCCATGTCCTCGGGAGCCACAGGATCGAACTCCCCCCAGATAACACTCTCAAGACCTGCCTCAGTCATCCCGTCTGGACATACCCAGTCAGAGGCCAGCCCTTCCCGAATCTGAGCGATTCAATGTTTCAAACAGTTGTTTTGGCCACGCCTAATGTTCTTGCTAGCTCTCTGATGGGTTTGTTTTGTTTCTTCAGCCTAATGATGGCTTGCTTCACTAATAGTGACAGCTCTTTGGATCTCATCTTGAGAGTTGACAGCAACAGATTCCAAATGCAAATAGCACACTTGAAATGAACTCTGGGCCTTTTATCTGCACATTGTAATTGGGGTAATGAGGGAATATCACACACCTGGCCATGGAACAGCTGAGAAGCCAATTGTCCCATTACTTTTGGTCCCTTAACAAGTGGGAGGCACATATACAAACTGCTGTAAATCCTACACCGTTCACCTGAGTTGGATGTACATACCCTCAAATTAAAGTTGACAGTCTGCAGTTAACGCACATTGTGTTTGTTTCATTCCAACTCCATTGAGGTGGTGTATAGAGCCAAAGATGCTATAATTGTGTCGATGTCCCAATATTTCTGGACCTGACTGTAAGTCTAAGTGCTATTGCTATCTAGTCCTACTCTCTGCTCAAGCAGGAGAGCCTATCCCATTTCAGATAAATTTTAGAATGGGCTCTCTGTTTGATTTAATATTTTTTATTGTTTTGTATTTTCCCTAGTTTACTACCCCACCTGGAGCCTACTGGAGTTGGGCAGCCAATAAATTTAAATAAATACATTCAGTTTTTTAAATTTAATAAATAATAATATGATGCTAACGCAGTGCAATATAAGCAAAGCCAGAATAACTCATAGAATAATGTCTCCCCAACCCCTTTTTATCCATTCAAGATGAGTGGGGAAACAACCAGGAATAGTTCTTGGAAAAAAGTGATACTTGCCTTATACAAGCTGCAAACCAAATTGAAGAGAGACTTTTGTGCCTGAGTTTGAAGTTTTTCAGAGTGCTCCTGAGAAAAATAAACAAAGTGGAGGGAGACATTTTCACCCATGGCAGTAGACCAATGAGTCTGGTTACTCTGCAGGTAGATTTCATCAGGAGACGTGAATATAGGTAGTCCTTGATGTACGACCACAATTGAAACCAAAATGTATATTGCTAAGCGAACCATTTGTTAAGTTAGTTTTGCCCCATTTTACGACCTTTCTCGCCACAGTTGTTAAGTGAATCACTGAGGCTGTTAAGTTAGTAAAACAGTTGTTAAATGAACCTGGTTTCCCCATTGACTTTGCTTGTCACAAGATCACAAAAGTTGATCACATGACCCCAGGACATTGCAATGGTCATAAATATGAACCAGTTGCCAAATGTCCAAATTTTGATCACAGGACCAGAGAGATGTGGCAATGGCTGCAAGCGTGAAAAACATTCATAACTCACTTTTTTTCGTGCCACTGTAACTTTGAATGGTCACTAAATGAACTGTTGTAAGTCCAGAACTTCCTCTATCAGCACTGTGCAAAATGTTTAAGAATTGAGTTTATGCTCAACACAGTCATTCATAGCACATTCCAAGCTCAAAAGAATCCAATTTTGACCATAAAAGGTATTTTCAACTTCACAACAATTTGGAAATGATCAAAATAACAATAAGATGAACCCAATATTGTCACATCAACCTGTTTCAATCTTGAGACATCCCGAATTTGAATGGGAAGTTTAGAATTCAAGACAAGTCCTGCACTTACAACCGTTACATTGTCCTCGTGGACACATGATTGTGAGCTGGACAGTTGGCAACCAGTATGTGTTTATGACAGTTGCAGCATTGTGATATCACACAATCACCATTTGTGGCTTTCTCGGGGAATTCTAAAAAGCAAAGACAATGGAGGAAGCCAGATTTGTTTAATGAGCAGGTGATTCACTTAACAACCAGGGCAAAAAAGTTTGTACAATGGGGCACAGTCATATGACAACTTACTTATACAACCATATTGCTTAGCGATGAAAGTTCTGGTCTCAATTGTAGTCGTAAGTTGAGGACTTTCTGTACTATGTCATTAAAAATACATTATTGATTTGCAGAAAGAACATCCATCCAGTAAACACCGTTCAGTCACCCCCACTCCCCACTCCAACCCTAATCAAGGGATTACTATATTTTTCAGACTATAAGACGCACCGGACTATAAGATGCACCTAAATTTACAGGAGGAAAACAAGAAAAAAGTTTTTGGCCTCTGTGTGTCGCATTTTTGCCCTCCCCGGCCCCCAGAAGCACTCTGCGGTGCTCCGCACAGCCCGTTTTCACCACAAATAGGCCTGTTTTTGCCACAAACGGGCCCGTTTTTGGGCTCCCAAGCCCTCCGTGCTTCACGTTTTCGCCTTCCCCAGCCTCCAGAAGCACTCTGCAGCACTCTGCATGTCCCGCCTGCAGAGTGCTTCTGGGGACCAAGGAGGGTGAAAGCACAATGCGCGGAGGCTTGGGAACCCAAAAATGGGCCTGTTTTTAGTGAAAACGGGACATGCAGAGTACTGCAAAGTGCTTCTAGGGGCCAGGGAGGGCGAAAACGCGATGCATGGGGGGTTCAGGAAGCCCAAAACATGCATATTCGGTCTATAAAATGCACCTAAATTTTCACCCACTTTTAGGGGGGGGAAAGATGCATCTTATACTCCAAAAAATATGGTACAAGGTCGTAAAAAGAAAAAAAAAATGTTGGATGAAGATGTAGATCTCTCCTTTTACATTGTGGTTTAGCAGCAATTTCTTTGTAACATCACCATTGCAGCTCTAAGTTCAGAGAGCACCAAGGACCCCAGAGGTCAATCCTAGGCTACAATTATTCTCTTCTAAGATGAATACAAGAAGACATGAGGGGGGAACATTACCTCCTGCCTCCATTAACACTTACCCCATTGATGAGAATCCATGGCACATACTCATGATGTGGTTTCAGAGCCCTGGTGAGTTCAGCATTCCTATGCATAAGCTTGTTACCTAGGTCTCCATTCACACATGCATTGATATCTGCTAGAGAGGCGTTAGGAGCGTACAATTTCAGGCACTGCAGAAACAGAATGGACAATCCTTATTGCTTTGAAACAAGAATGAGCAGTTTCATTAAACCCGTTCCATTGATCCCTGGAGCCTCTAATCACAACCACTGAAAGATGAAGGTGGATTCACTGCCTTTGTAAACCCTGCTGCTACAGAAGCCGATGTATTATTTAGGCTTTCTCTCAGACCCTTCCAGCTTATAGAAATGAGCAAAAAAAAAAAAAAAGGAATGCAAGTACTATATGAGTTCCTGGAAAAAAATGTGGGATAAAAATTTAAGAATAAATTATACATTATTAGTAAATTTTGCTTTCAATCGATTGGTCACTTATGGCAGAGGTCCCTAACTCCAAGTCCACGGTCTGCTATAGTCCACCGCCTGTTGGGAACCAGGCTGCGTAAGCCACAGGCGAGCATGCAAAACTCCATTTGCGTATGCACTGAATTACGTGGCACATGCAAAACACCCCCCCCCCCGCTGCTGCCGGTTCACGGAGCCAGAAAGGTTGGGACCACTGACTTACGGCATCTAATATATTTCAGGTAGTTCTTGGTTAATGACCATTTCTTCAGCAACCATTTGAATTTATAAAGGTGCCGAGTGAGGGATACTTACAACCAGTCCTCAAAGTTCCAGTTATCGCAACTTCCCATGGCCATGGGATTGCAATCTGCAACCTTTCTTGACGGCTTCCCCCAAGCAAAATCAATGGGAAAGCCGGTGCTCGCTTAACACTTCACAGTGATTCACTTAACGACTGTAACCAGAGTCTGTTGGGACTATCATCGCTAAATGCATGGTGAAATTCCGTTCCCAATTACCATCATTAAGCAAATTAAATTAAAATTTAAATGAGTATTAGCAGAATTCAAACAGTGGGACAGAAGAAGGAAAAGCTTTCCTGATAGTGGAAATGGGACAAAACATAGCTCCCAAAGAAGTTGTAAACTAGGAGCTTCAATTTTACTATCTGAGACTACCATCTAAACTTCTTTGACCATACTGTAGAACAGGGCTGTCAAACTCGCAGCCTGTATGCCGGATGCGCCACGCGCTGGCCACGCCCAGTTTAGTGAAAGGGGGGGGAGTTGGGATATGTCACGTGACACCGCTGTGACAACGTGAGTTTGATACCCCTGCTGTAGAAAGTAAGGAAGATGATCTCGATAGAAATATGCAAGGCATTTTGTGTATTTCCTGGGTTAAAGGAGATGAAATATTTTAAAGTCCTGAGCAATGAGATGATATTTGGAAGAGGCTCAGGCAGTTACCTCCCTGATTCACCGGAGTATAAGAAGGGGGAGGTGGAAGGTTTGCAAGATGATATTATGATAGACTAGTGATGGCTAACCTTTTCTGGACCGAGTGCTGAAAGCGTGCATGCGTGCACCCCCGAACCCCCTAAATGCAATGCATATGCATCCCCATGCATGCACTCCATCCCCCGCGCATATGTGTGCACCACACCCATGCACCCCAAACCCTGCGTGGCCCCTGCATGCACCCGTGCACATGCGTGCATGGCTCTCCGCATGCGCCCCCCCCATGCATGCACGGCAGGGATCCTAAAACCAGCTGGCTAACAGGAGGCATGTGCACATGCGTGACAGAGCAGAGCTGGGGCAATGGCTCGCATGCCCACAGAGAGGGCGCTGCTTGCCACCTCTGGCACGTGTGCCAGAGGTTCACCATTACGGTGATAGACAATCTTATTATTTATTATTAAATTAATTAAATTAAATTAAATTAAATTATTTATTTATTAATTCAATTTGTATGCCACCCCTCTCCGAAGACCCAGGGCAGCTCACAATGCATTTAAAATCATTATAAAAAACATTTAAAAATTAAAACATTAAAAACATAATTTTTTAATGTTAATTTTATCTTAATAAAACTAGTATTGGTCTTCCAGAGGAATTGGTTTTCTGGGCTGGTCTACCTAATGGAGTTCACACATGTAGTACGGACACCCGGCTTGCTAGGATTTTTTTCAGCTTTCTTGCTTGTATTCAGCTTTTACTTATTCTCCTTAATTTTATTATTAATTTATTCTCTGGCACAGTCCCTCGGCCAAGTTAAAAACCGAGTGTTTGGCCTTGTTGTGACTCCGACCCCCGAGCCCGTCTTATCGGAGGGAGAAGACTCCGAAAGTGAAGGAGAGGAGTTGGCCAGGCCTCCCTCTCCAGGACCCTCCTCTTTGCCTCAGGTGTCTCCTGAAGGAGAAGAGATAGGCCAAGAGCCAGGCATCTCCAAGCAGCCGCAGTTAGACAGCGACGGAGATAAGTCTTGGCTGGATCCCCTCCAGCGTCGGAAAGACAAGCGCATGCAGCAGAGAAGGAGGCGTGCCAGAGATTAAGCTGAGTCACTGGACCACACCCCACAGGGGATAAAAGGGGGTGTGGTGGCCATTCAAGCTTTGTGACGGACAAAACTGAACAGCTAGCAAGTCATACTATGTCTCTGGAACTTAGTTATCTGCCTTCCTTGGATTTATTATGGACTGGACTTGACAATTCTTTGGCTTTGTGAATTTATTTTGGTTTATCTGATGGAGGAGGAACACCTTCCTCTGTGAGTAAAGTTTTTGGCAAGCAGCTACTGGGTTGCTGCCAATTCTGTTATCGAAGGAAATTATTGTCTGCAAGTTTATTTTAACTCCTGGCTGACTGTTTGTGTGCGTGTGTGAGACAGGGACAGAACAGGCCTTAGTTCTACCATCCCTCCCTTCCTCCCTCCCTCCGAGGTCTCCCTGTTATCCTTGATCAGATCAGAATTGCAGGAAAACCCGTGGCATACCAGTGGCAAGCTGGTGACGACATCTGTACTTGACTCCATGCAGAAGATGAGTAGAAAATCGAAGTTCGGGTACAGATGACTGATACAAGCCTAGTGAAGACAGAGCACAAGGGTTAGGGCAGGGCTGTCCACAGCATAAAGTCAGAAAATCAAGCTTACAGCTACAACACACATCTACATCAACGGGCATAAAAAGGCAACACCATGGCTGCCACCTCGACTTTTTTGACCACACCTTCAAACACCCCTGCAATGGGGACAACAAGGAGAGATGGGGAAGAGGGTGAAGAAAGGAGAAAAACCATCCAGTGGAGAATGCCAGTGCCTAGGGGTTTCGGCTATTCTAAATCCTATTGTCAAAACTTTAATTAATGTTAACAGATGGAACCAACATTTAAACAAGCTAATAATTCTGAAAAAAGTAAGACATAAGAATCTTCCTTTCTTTCACCCCCCCCTCCTCCCATCATTTATTGCCTTTCCCCATGCTTCCCAACCTGGACAACTTTAAGATGTCTGAACTTCAACTCCCAAAACTATGTGGCTGGGGAATTCTGGAAGCTGGATTCCAACATATGGAAGTTGCTAAGGTTGGGAAACACCCTTAGAGCAAATGAAGTACAGGCAGTCCTTGACTTACAAGTTCATTTAGTGACCGTTTGAAGTTACAATGGGACTGAAACACGACTTGTGACTGTTTTTCACACTTATGACCATTGCAGCATCTCCATGGTCACGTGTTCAAAATTCAGAGGCTTGGCAACCAGGGTGGATAAAAATCAATGATTTTTTTTAAAAAATCAAAAAAATCGGATTTTTTTTATTTTTATCGAATTTATTTTAATAAAAAACTTTTGGGATAAAAATCTATTGTAAGATAGTTTTCTATTTAAGATACATAAATAATTTAGTTTATTCAGCATGAAATGGAGCTTAGTTATGTAGCATGAGGCTGTATATTCTGCAACACTGGGACTATCGGTGAGTCAACAGCGGGTCAAAGGAGTAGCAGAGATGACAGTTGCTCTAAAAATTATGATTTAAATCGAGTTGATTTAAATCAAGCCTTTTTACTAGTGATTTAAATCATGATTTAAATTGTGATTTAAATCAACTCGATTTAAATCAAATCCACCCTGTTGGCAACTGACTCATATTTATGACAGATGGAGTGTCTCAGGACCACATGATCCCCTTTTGCGACCTTCTGACAAACGAAGTCAATAGGGAAGCTAGATTCACTTAACAACCGTGTTACTTAACAACTGCAGTGATTCACTTAACAACGGTGGCAAGAAGGATCATAAACGGGGCAAAATTCACATAACAAATGTCTCACTTAGCAGCAGACATTTTAGGTTCAATCATGGTCGTAAGTCAAGGAGTACCTGTATGGTCGGGGGGGGGGGATATGAGCTCTTTTCCTATCTTTTGTGAGTTTCTACAAGTAGACGTTTAACATGCAAACTGGCTGCTGAAGCTTGACAGATAATTAAGGCATCCATTTCACCCTGAAATCCACTCCCGAAATGGGCCTTTCTCCTCCTTCCTGAGGCCCTTGACACATCACACACAGCTTTGGCTTGTAAGTTTGTGCTCTAAGGCATGCTGCTGTGTAGATTGGGGTGTCAAACACAATTTCATTGAGGGCCGCATCAGGGCTGTGGTTGACCTCGTGAGGGGGCAGTGGTGGGTTGTTCCCGGTTCTGTCAGGTTCTTGTGAACCGGTAGTAAAAGCGGCGGGAGGCTCCGCACACCCGCCCGGACATCATAATGGACAATCTGCGCATTCACAGAAGCGTGCGCGCTCCCGTTGCGAACCAGTAGTAAAGGTAAGTAGAACCCACCCCTGGGAGTGGTGGCAGGGTGTGGCCAACTGGGTGGGCATGGCCAACTGAATGGGCGTGGCCAGCTTGACACCACTCCCCAAACTGCTGGCATGTTTCCTCTTTGCACTGGGTAGACTGGGCCGAAGCCACGCTGACCCAATCTTTCCTCTTCGCATTGAGTAGACCAGGACGGCCCCACAGGCCGGATCCGACCACATTGCGGGCCAAATCTAGCTCACAGCAGTGGTGGGTTGCCCCTGGTTCACACCGGTAGTAAAACCAGTGGGAGGCTCCGCCCACCAACCCTGATGTCATCAAAATGCTTCTGCACATGTGCAGAAGAGCATGCACGCGCGTGTGCAAGCAAAGCAAGCCTGTGCACGCGGCCCCGCTGCAAACCGGTAGTAAAGGTAAGTAGAACCCACCTCTGGCCCACAGGCCTTGACTTTGACACCCGTGGTGTAGATGCAGGAAGCCATTTCCAAGTTGCAACCTGGGCAAGGTTGATCTGCTCCAATAGGTCATTCCCACATCCCACCCCCACCCCCAACTATTCTCACTTTATCAGTTACTCTATAAGCACAAACCTCTATCATGTTCCCCAAGCATTCCTCTTCCCCATGCTGGCATTCAAAGTGCCATTTTGTGGCCTCTTTCTTCTCCTGTAAGATGATAAATGGAGTGGATGAGAAATCTGGACAAGGAATCGTCTCCATAACATCTTCAGTCATTCTGCTGCACCCAGGGATATTCTCCTACCTCTGCATTCCCGTAGGGGACTAAAGTGATGTTCATGATATCTCCTAGCATCAACCAAGTGGGAAAGAGCATCAGCACAAGAAACTCGCGGCAACCAGGACAGAGGGATTCATAGTAGAGGCTGATAGAGACAGGGTCGGCTTTCGGGGTGTTGGAGATCAACCTGGTGCAATGCTTCTCCACCTGCAAAGAAAGGAAAGTCTGCATCAAGACGGGGTGTTCGTGGTTTGACCGCCTAGTATGCCAGCAAATTAAAAAGGCAGTTGTCTTCCTTGGATAGAGCCGAAGAAAATATTCTTTTTCATAGCTTATACTGTATATGAAAAAGGGATGCAGTGGCTCAGTGGCTAAGAGGCTGAGCTTGTCGATCGAAAGGTTGGTAGTTTAGTAGTTCAAATCCCTAGTGCTGTGTAACAGGTTGAGCTCCTGTTACTTGTCCCAGCTTCTGCCAGCCTAGCAGTTTGAAAGCATGAAAAAAATGCAAGTAGAAAAATAGGGGCCACCTTTCGTGGGAAGGTAACAGCGTTCCGTTCGCCTTTGGCATTTAGTCATGCTGGCCATGGAGACGTCTTCAGACAGTGCTGGCTCTTCGGCTTTGAAACGGAGATGAGCACCGCTCTCTAGAATAGGGAATGACTAGCACATATGTGCGAGGGGGAACCTTTACCTTTACCTATACTGCATATGTTCTGCTGGTTCACTCAAAAGAACTTTAAATGGTTGGAAAGGCAAAAAATAATCAGCATCTGGATAATTCTGTCATGAGGGTGGCAGTTCTTTCTCTGAGCTTGCAGGTTGGTTTCTGTACATTTTGTTACCATGTTGGGTAACATCTTCAACGGAATTTAGGGGAATGTCAGTGTCAGTATTTTTCTAAGGGCTTCATGTGGTCAGTAGGTCTTGTGATGAGGAGGTCACATCAGGTGAGGGTCACATCAAATGAAGGTCTTGTGATGGGATTGGTGTGGGTCCCATCACAAGACTCTCACCTGACATGAACCACACCTGATCCATCATAAGACCTTACCTGACGTGACTTCGCCATCACAAGACCTACTGACCACACGAAGCCCTTATAAGCAGAAGAACACCAACATTGATATCTCCATCAATTCTGCTGAAGATGTTACAAAACCTTCAGAAACCAACCCACAAGCTTGGAAAATGAATCTCCACCCACATCCTAACACCCAAGCTATAGGTATTTGTCACTACGGCAAGTCTATCATGCTAGAGAAAAACTCCCTGCTGTGGCATCCATCAATACAGTGCTACCAGAGGGCGAAATGGATGGTTCCCCAGGTGCTGCCACCTACTTAACCTCTGTAACCATGGGAATCCATTACATGTCCTACCTTTAAAAATGCAAAAAGGTTTGTAAGGGAGAGGGAAATTCAAGTACTTGTGGGTAATCATTTTGCTAGAAGAATAGGCAAGCATTTCACTGAAAATTGCAATTTGGCTATAGATGTTGTCATGAGGATGTTCCACCTATATAATATCATCCCCCTGAAAGTCAAATGGGGCCCAACACCTGCAAGGTTTTAAAAGTTGGGATGGCAGGGTCTGGAAGCGTAATAGAGTTGGCCAATTGTTTTAGGAGACTGGACTTCTCCTCTGTCTTTGTTGTTCTTCCTTATCAGCCTGTCCCCAGTCAGCATAGACCTCATCCATCACTAAGACCAGGGGTGAAATGTTCCCAGTTTGGACCGGATCGCCCGATTTGGTACCAGAGAACTGGTAGCAAAAATCCCTGCCCAACCCCCCATGCCCAGCTGAGCCATGCAATTATCAGAGGCTTTTTTTTTTTACTTTTAAAAGCATTTTTTCTACAACCTCTTCAGCCGAAAAAATGCTTTTAAAAATAAATAAATAAATAAAAGTTGGCCATGCCCACCCAGTCACATTACTCCCCCCACCAAGCTACAGAACCGGTAGTAACAAATTTTACATTTCACCACTGACTATAAGACCCCTTAGTGCAGCCCCCTGCAGCCGAAATGGGGAAGGTCTGATTTAAGGACCTTGTCTGTCTTGTGGGGTTTTTGGTGTTCTCTGGGCTGGTTGTTTCCTTTGCAGATGTTTCATTATACAACTAGGTAAGATCTTCAGTGCTAGAAGAGTAATGCATTATCATTTGGGTAATGAAATTTCTGCAAGAAAACCACCAAGCTCAGAAAGCACCAAGGATTCCAAAATTCATCCCTGAGCTACAAATTTTCCCTTGTCTGAGCTGGTGTCTCTGCTCCTCCTTTCCCACACCTTTGGGCCAGCTCTCAAATGTGGAACCATGTGAAATTAACAAACAGGAGGGAAGATGTATGTCAGTGATTGCATGACCTCCGTAGATGCCACACACTAAATAAATAACGATGTAGCTCCAGGCTACTTCCCTGTTTTAAACCTTAGGACGTTTCTTTCAGGAAAAAATGCCTTCCACAACCAGTGTGAACTGTTATAAACAAAGCCTGATTATTATACAATGCACAGATCTAATTGTGAAAGATTGTACCAAAGAAGGTGACAATTAAAAAAAAAAACCCTCACATGCTTTGATTCACACCCCTCCCAAGAATTCATCCATTTCCTTTCTTTGAAAAGAGAAGTGAAAGTGTGAGGCTTTGCCAAAAACGGAGCCGATTTATTTTACCCAACCGTGGGGTTTTCTGTCTGGAATTTTCCCTAATAAAATGGGCTGGGCCAAAAGAGGCTGTGCAAAGTCTCTTTTATTACAATCTAGCTGCAAAGGTTTTGTTTGCAAGGTGGCTTTTGAATTGGGACTCCCAACTTTCTAACTGCAGGGGAAAATAGGCCAACAGTACAGATAGTCCTCAACTAATGACCACAGTTGGGATCCTCACTAAGCAATGTGGTCATGAAGTGAATCACGCCAGACGTCACAACCTTTTCTGTTCCATTTGTTATGCAAATCACTGCAGTCATTAAGCGGATCACGAAGTTCTCAAGCAAATCCAATTTCCCCCATTGAGTTTGCTTGCTGGAAGACCCCCCTGGGAAGGCTGCAGGTGATGATCATGTGACCACAGGACACAGCAACTCTTTAAATGCATGCTGCAATGGACATTAAGTGCAAGGACTGGTCATTAGTTGTTAATTTAGTTAACTAATTTCAGTGGGGTTAAAACTGCCTCCTTGAAAATTTTCTTGCTTCCCTCATTGAAAATTTTTATAAATGTAAACATTTTAATTCTAAAATTCTAACGTTTTAATTTTTATACACTGGTTCATATTTTGACGCTGTATTGTATCTCACCCAGAATCCTTCTTTGAGAGAGATGGGTGGTTCCGAAATGTAATCAATGAATCACTTTTCTTAGTGGCAATCCTGTAATTTTGCATGTTGTTAAACAAATGGTATGTCAGCACTGGAACGAATGTAGTTTGGAGTGCTGACATCGAGAACTATCCCTGCTAACTTCCTTAGGTCCAGAATTGGTAAGAACCCTAGTTCAGTTTTGAAATAAAATTCCTTTCAATATTTATTTGAAAGGCTGCTCCATTACAAAAACGCCATTAGTTCGAATTCAAAAATAAAATTGGAGAAACGGGGAGACCCTTGTGCGGTTAGCTAAACTGTGCTCAGCCATTGTCTGTTTAGCCATTAGCTGAGTATGCCCAATACGCAAAAGCCTTAAATCATGATTTGCAAACCAAATGGAAGTATTTGCGCAACCCAAGGAGCCATCATTTGCCCTGTGTCTTCCTTTTTTTAAAAAATTTCATTGAGGAACCACTTTTTGGCATGAGAAAGTCATTCAAAAACACAGCAGGAACAGACCGTACACTGATAATACACATTAAAATAAAGATGTGATTTGCTTATGGAATAGCTGCATAACTTATTTTAATAAGCATTAGGATTTCATTTATGCCTGGAAATTAGCGGGAGGCCATTGCTGTTCCCTATTCAAACAGAAAGGTAGCACAAATGTATGCCAGCTGACAGAAAGTATATATGGTTGTGGATTTAGAGAAAGGATACCAAAATGTGAATAAGCTTGAATTAAAACACTTCTGAACTCTTGCCAAGAAAATTGCAGGGACTAGTCCAGGCAGTTGCCAGGAGTCAATGTTGACTCAAATGGCACACACACAAACAACATTCTGCATGGCAGATATGGCGCCTAATGTTAGTTACTAAATGCAGTAACAGCAGTTTATGATGGAAGAAAACTATGAGAAAGAGATAGGTAGGGAGTTAGAGAGAGAGAGAGATGATAAATATGGATTAGCATATGAACATGGTGAAAGGAAGGATAATTTATAAGGGTGGAACAGTACTGTATGTACCAATTTTGCAGTATGTACTGCAAAATACGATTTTGCAGTATTTTGTTCGCTTCTTTTAAAAATGTCTTCAACTGACTATTGCTCATCCGTTTTCTGCACTTTGCACTGCATAATTCAGATGCATCACAATACAATTTTCATCACAGCCAGTCAATGGGGCCCACACATCTAGAGAGTAAGGGAAGCAAAAGGGGATGTTTTGAAACGAGTGGCTGGGGAGTTAAAGTCCACAAGTTTTAAAGTTGCCAAGGCTAGACATCCTTGCTTTAAAACTTGGAGAGGATGCTGGTTTCTACACAATTCAGGCTGAGTTCTGTAAGACCATTTTTTAATATGTACTACCGGCATATACTGCCTTTTACTTCCTGATCAAGCCTGCTGTTTCCACCCCCTATTCCTTATGCACAGGTTCCAGGAATTTCTGCCTACTCCCTGCTCTCCCTATTGCATAGCTGAGAGAAATTAAAAATCCAAGTCCTCTGGCATTAAAGGAGGAGCAGCAAGGGGAAAAAAACACCAATGTTTTGCAGGTTATTATTGAGTTATGGATCCACCCTTCTCCTTGGATAATGAGCAATACTTAACACCAACAAAGGCTTAAGAAACTTAAGTCAAAATTTCACCTTGTTGGCCTCTACAGGAAGCATTTTAAAAGAAATGTCTGGCCAACTCCTATGATTGGGATAAGAGAGTTATGAAGATCTTCCCTTTTTCAGGGAAGGTCATGGGTCTGGACTTCGGACCTTCTCTTATGAATTTCTTCCATCTGATCATCCTTTAGGAAACTAGTGAATGAAGGAAAAATATAGTAACCGTCTAGTGATTCTTCATTGACAGCATGAGTTCTTTGGAAGCCCTGACTCAAAAGTCCTTTGCTTGGCTTCACAGCCTGCCTTCCTTCCTTCCTTCCTTCCTTCCTTCCTTCCTTCCTTCCTTCCTCCCTCCCTCCCCTCCTCTCCCCTCCCCTTTTTTCTGGCATTGATAAGATAATATCAATAGTGCACACACACTACCTAAACAGACCAACCTTTACCCCACATAGGTCTCCCTATTACTTTTCTGCTGGAAAATAAACCATACCAATAAAGGAGAATATTTGTAGCTCAGGGTTAAAATGAGGGGTGCACTGATGATGTTAACCTAGTTTGGGTAATGAAACCTCTGCAAGAAAATAACCAAGATCAGAGGGCACCAACCATCCCACCCCACCCCATAATAAAACGTCCCATCTTTTCGATGGGGATCCTTTTCTACCATCTTGACGGTTTGAGCTGCTTGCTTTCTTTCCTTTCCTTGAGCGGCTTTTTAGAATGGACTTTTTCTTGTTGACAATGCGGAGAAGAGCCAGCACCGGTGAAAAGGGTGAAGGTTCTGACTCGGGACGGAGAGATCTGGGTTTTAGTCCTCTCTCGGGCACCCAGATGCCAACTGGGACGACGCTTTCTCTCATCCTCCAAATCAGAGTCAAGCCCGCTGAAATTCAAAGCCCTGCCCCAGTGTTTCTCGACATGCGTGGGCTGCAACTTTTCGGGGATCGCTCAGGGGAAGCTAGCAAAGAGGGGGGGGTGGAGAAACAAGCAGCCTTCTGCAGCAGGAGATTGCAAAGCACCCAGTTCGAAGCCGCCCCGGCGCGCCTCATGCAAACGAGTTATCGGCGTGCAAGCCCGGCCACCCGCTCGCTTACCTGGCAGGCTTGGGCGATCTCTTTGGAACTGCACCAAAGTTGCGGCGGATAACCACACGTCGGCCTGTTACTTTCCCCGCAGGAGCTCGCCCAGAGGCTGCCCGCGATGAGGAGAAGAAGCCAACCAGCCATGGCGAAGCGCTCCCAAATCTTGGGCGCCAAGACCAGTTTGGCGGGCCTTTAAACTCTCTCCGCCTCGGCCCGCCCCCTTTCCTGCTCGGGGCAACCTGTTTTTCCTCTTTGGCTGCTCTTCGTGACTCAGCCGGCCTCGGACGGCCCTTGGTCTTGTGCGCCTTTCCTACTGTTTGAAATCTCCCCGTTTTCTGGGAAGGTTGGGAGTTTCGGATGCCGTCACCCAGGCGCATGATTGCATTTCTGCTATCTGAGGGGGAAAATGCAGATACGACCAGCAAAATTGATTACAGAAGAACAAGATGTTGCTGATTTGCAAAGAAGTTGAAATATAACCCTGTATCTGATTCTATTCATTCTCACAATAGGTTTCTGGGATGACCGTTGCTCCTTTCCCTCAACCCTCCAATGCGCCTTGAAAGCCTTAAATGTGCCTGCCCAAATTCCAGTTCTGGACTACCAAGGGAAGAGAGCTAGTAGTACTTTTGCTTCCCAGCTGGCACCGAAAGCTGACAGAAGGCTCTAGTTTTCTAACCAGGCTGGCACACTTGAATAAATGCATTTTTGGAAGTTCCTTTTGTCTTTTTTAGTAAATGGAGTTTCCAGATTTTACAAACAAAAAAGCTGCATCTTTATATAAGGAGTAGGAAGCTTAGTTTAATTTGTCTCTGGCCCCATCCCTCTGAAATATTAAAAATTTATGCATTCCAGATAAGGGACGTGGAGCTCAGTGGCTAAGACGCTGAGCTTGTCAATCAAAAGGTCAGCAGTTCAGCGGTTCGGATCCCTAGTGCCACATAATGGGGTGAGCTCCCATTACACTGTTCCAGCTTCTGCCAATGTAGCAGTTCGAAAACCCGTAGAAAATGCAAGTAGAAAAATAGGGACCACCTTTGGTGGGAAGGTAACAGCGTCCTGTGCACCTTTGGCGTTTAGTCATGCCAGTCACATGACCATGGAGACATCTTTGGACAGTGCTGGCTCTTCAGCTTTGAAATGGAGATGAGCACCACCCCCTAGAGTCAGGAACAACTAGCACATATGTGCGAGGGGAACCTATATGCATTCCAGAGAAGTAGCCTGGAATTGAGGAAAACTTCCTAACAATGAGGACAATTAACCAGTGGAACAGCTTGCCTTCAAAGGTTGGAGGTTTTTAAGAAGAAACAGAAAAGCCATTTGTCTGAAATGGGTCTCTCCTGCTTGAGCAGTGGGCTGGACTAGAAGATCTCCAAGGTCCCTTCCAGCTCTATTCAGATTCTCATTTTCTGGATCTTAACAACAGCCATTGGTCACTAGGATGCAGGCCAGGGTTTAGTTTGTTCCTTGCCGTTTCCAAATTCAAGGCATTTGTAGTCTTTGGACTACAAATTGAATGGGGGAGGTGGGGGAGGGTTTGAAAAAGAGCTGAAGTATTGAGCAATCGTGATGGATGCATCTTAGTTGCCTGCAGGCTGAATTCTCTGAGTGGTTTAGTAAACATAATTTTGTTTAATTCATTCAATAATTAATCCTCTAATTGTTATTGGACTCAAAACATCACTGGCAACAGGGAGGCTGATGAGCTGAGTTTTCTTCAGGGGCTAAACTGCATTTCTATGTGTCTGTCTATATGGACCCTGAGGAGAAACGTCTGCAGCACACTTTAGCTTGACTGCAGTGTACAGGTATTATGTACCAAATGTCTATTTTTCCCAAATTTGCAATTCAAAACTTGTTTTCTGCTGCCAGAAGCATGGTGGGGGACGATGTGTAAAGTCCAAAAATGTACTTGAATCACCAGAATGCCAAAGAGAGAGACTAAAGAGGCTGGCTAGAGTTAAATTTTAAATTGATTTTAAATTGGGTCGTTTTAATTTACGGCCAAAATATTTAATTATTTTAAACTGTTTTTTAAATTTTGTATGTTCTGTTTTTTACTTTGGCTGTTCACTGCCCTGAGTCCTCTTTGGAGAAGGGCGGTATAGAAATGGAAACAAACAAACAAACAAACAAACAAACAAACAAACAAATAAATAAATAAGAGGCTTGGAAAAATATCAGCTTTAATTTGTACGAAGAAGAGCTGGGTAGACCATACCACTATATATAGACAAAGAGCATGCAGTGAAAGGCCACACCTTGGGGAAGGTATGGCCTTCTTTTATACCTTCAGAGGCCCCGTGATCCATGCCTTCCTTTGGTAGTGCAGCAAGGTACAAGGGGGTTGAGTGCTTAGCAACAGAGGGGCTGGGTGCTTAGCAACACAGTTATCAGGCTGGAGTTTTACAGAAAAAGAAGATAACAGATAACAAAAGTTCCAGAGGCAATTCTAATTCTAAGCAAAGCAATTCTTACAGAAGGAAAACAGCAAGTTATTATTATGTCCCAGTAATTCTACTTATTCTTCTATTATTATGTCCCTACAGTTGGAAAATAGAGTGAGGGGAGAAGACGAGGCTTCAGAGAAACAGATCCTCAGTTGTTAATTTGGAAAAGAAAAGGTGCGTTATATCATCAACTTTCCCCAATCCAGTACAGCCTGGGGGACAAGCAAACACCACCATCTCTGACCACTATTACTGGTGGTTTCAGGATACGGAGTTTGAGCAACACAGAAGAGCCAAGAGAACATGAATGGGATAGGATCTCCTGCTTGAGCAGGGTGAAAAGCAGTGGTGAAATTTGAACTGGTTTACTATGCATTGTACACCACGCACACCAAAAGGAGGCATGGAGTAAGTAGAACAGCGCGCGGGGGGGGGGGGGAATCAGCTGTGGCGCACAATTTTTTTTTTTACTTTTAAAAGCATTTTTTACAACCTATTTGGCCGAAGTAAAAAAGAAAAGGTTCTGATGATCGCGCGGCTCAGCTGGGATCATCAGAGCTTTTTTTTAACCCTTTAATAGCATTTTTTAAAAGAAGCGGCAAGCAGGCAACTGGGCAATTGGGTGTGTGTGGGCGTGGGGGGCAGAGATTTTTGCTACCGGTTCTCTGAACCACCTGCCGCCATCGCTACTGGATCGGCCGATCTGGTCCGAACCGGAAGCATTTCACCCCTGCCTCAAAGGTCCCTTCCAGTTCTATTCTGATTCTAATTCATTTTATTTCTGGTGGCCCAATACCAATTGGTGTCCTTGTGCAAGTTTACTAACACAGAGCAGGAAAGTAGGAGAAAAATCATTCAAGGTTGCCTATTTGTCAAGTTAAGAAAACACATTTTGAAGAATGTGATTTAACTATGATCGTTGCAAGAATAGATGTTAGCGGATGTGACAGATATGCAAGCTCAGGTGACAAACCAAAGGATCACTATTCAGGTTCCTCCACCTTTTCCTCATGTAAATGCAAGAATGTTTGCCATTGGGAGAGTCATCTTCAGAGTAGGCCATTCCTCTAGGTTTAGACGAGTGTTTAAAATGAGTGGACTTAAATTCCCTGAAATCTTCAGTCATCTTGCTGGATTAGACTACAGTATATAGATATCTAAATCATCAAACCCCAGAAAAATTGTGAGTTTGTGAGTGGTGATGATGACATTTATGCTTTCATAATATGTTCTATGCAATATTTAGCCGTGTCAGAAGCCCCAAGTATCATGTGGTGTGATTGACATGGGATTATATAACTATCATGACTCAACAAACATATGACACTGTCAGCACAAGTCAGCACAAATATGCTGAATGTGAATAAGGCAATGATTGTTGTGTTTCAGCTCCTTCCCATGTTGTGTTGTGTTTCCCCTATTGCTGTGTCTCCAGAGCTCCTAGAATGTCCCAATTTCCATTCTCTACAATGATTGATGATCAAATGACATTGCACCCATTCACTGATCTCCCTGCAAAAATTGTATATTTTCATTCATCTGCATGATCTAGTGCATTTTCAGAGAAACTGCAGCTTTATTGGTAGATGGTTTGATGTTTCATATTTAGACTAATCATAAAGTTTGGGCTGGTATTCACAGTTCTTCTCTCCATCCCTTTGTCCTATTCTGGAGCAGTGCCATCAACTCTACTTTTTGTGCCCAAGGCCATATGATACTATGTGACCAATACATCTACTACTGTCAGGGTTCCAAGTAATACCCCCAATGAAAGAAGACTCTGAGGCTTGAAGTTCCTCCATTTTATTAGAGATGCCATATTGGCACATCTAGGAAAACCCGAATCTGAGACTTTCCAGGTTTTCCCTATCCAAAGGAAAGTCCAAATCCCTTCCCAGCACCCACATGGTCCAATCAAAGCACCGTCCCAACTGGAGATGCCTCCCAGTCACACCCCTCCAGGTGCAGGGTAATATGTCCTTGATTCTCTGAGAAAGGAATGTTATTATGACTATATATATCACCCCTGCTCCACACAATCCCCCCTCCCAGTTTCCCACAGCACTAAATGTGGCAGGCCTGAAGGCTCAATGCAAAAGATGGCTTCCAGGCCTGACACTGAGATTCAGAGTGCAAATGCAGAGTTCTCTAGGACTATGTATCCTTGTTTTATCCCTGTAGTATTTACTGTTTATTGATGATGGTATATTGATGTTTGATAGTTGATCTTTGTTTATTCATGTCAGAAGCACCTTCAAGTTACAGACATATAACATTCAACACTGAGCAAGTAAAAAGGTATAAAATAGGTCATAAAAATATAGTACATAAAAAGCATGTAAAATAAGTAGGATTAAAACAAAATGACATTTCCCCAGTATTGGGTCACATCAAAAGCATTTTTTTTCACCATCAGGAGGTCTTCCTCTGTACATGTTGAAGGATAACATATGTGAAATGAGTTGTTCTTCTCCAGATTCACACAGTTAACAGTTGATACTACTTGTCTGTGGAAACCAAAGGAAGGATGTTAGATATTGAACTCACAGGATGTAGGGCAATATTTGATTTATTTTTGCTGATTGTCTATGGAGTTTCTCAGTCATCCAGTTCATGGTTGTCCCAAAGGTTTAACTTCAGAACTGAAGAAGCTTCTTGGATGAGAAGTGAAACATCTTCATGGAAAACAGAGCCCAGCTGCCTTTTGAAAAAGCACCTTTGTGATATTTTTGCTGATTCCAAGACAGTTATGTTTGGACTCGAGAAGAGAATCTAAAACCAAAGTAATAGGACAAGCTACAATC